TTTTTTTCTACTCTTCCGCCCAACAACAAAAGCAAAGAACCACAAAAAAAGCCAAGGAGAGCAATTTGCGTCGAGTGTGCGAGCCAAGGATGGCAAAACAACTTTAAGGATGGATTCCCGAGGGATTTTGAATACCGCCCATTATCGTGTCCCCTCTTAACACCTCCTACGCCCTTACCGTCCCCTCCTCCCCCCCCCTCCCTGGATTATTTCCCTCAAGCACCTTCCTTCCTCCTCCCCTCTCTCTTTACTTCCTTCCCTCTCCCTCCCTCTTCTCCTCTCTCTCCCTCCTCCCCTCTCTCTCTTCCCTCCTCCCCTCTCCTTCCCTCCGCCTCTTTCTCCCTCCTCCCCTCTCCTTCCCTCCTGCCCTCTCCCTCCATCCTCTCTTCTCCCTCCTCCTCCTCCCCCCTCTATCTCTCAAATCTTTCCCTCAAGCACTCACCTCCTTCCTCCCCCTTCCCCTCCCCCTCCCTCTCCTTCATCTATTCCCCTCAAACACTCACCTCCTTCCTTCCCTCCCCCCTCCCTCCTCCCCTATCCTTCATCTATTCCTCTCAAACACTCACCTCCTTCCTCCCCTCCCCCCCCTCCTTCCTTCTTCATCATTCATTTCCCTCAGACACTATTCCCCCCCCCCTCTAACCCCCAAACCCCGCTCATTGCCCAAATTGGCACCGTCGACCTTGAAGACGTGCAGTTACACGCGTCAAGGAGAGCCGCGTTCCCATGAGGCAATGGAACCGCCCCGCCGACCACTCCCTTGACGAAGGCACCGAACCGGACACCGTGACGTGGCACTGTTTGACACCCGCTTCACTCCCCCTCGCACTTCTGTTCTCTCCCCCCCCCCCGTATCGTCGTCTTGCATGGCACTCACTTTTCCCCTTATATGGCGATCTTCTTTCGTCGTTCCTTCTTCTCTTGAATAGTTCTCTCTCTTCTCCTGCTCCACTTTCTTATATAGCTCTCTCTCTTTATTCTCTGTCTTCAGTGGCACTCCTAATTTCTGTCTTCGACTCTTCTCGTACATGGCACTCTTCCCTTCTCCTTCCTCCTGTGTGGTACTCCCCTGTCTATCCTCTCCTTCTTCCTTTCTCTCCTTCCTCTTCTTTCCTTCTCCGTCTCCCTCCTCCTGTGTGGTACTCCTGTCTATCCTCTCCCTTCTTCCTTTTTTCTCCTTCTCCTATCTCCACTTCTACGTAGATAACATCCCCCACCTTTCCTTCCTCCTTCCCTCCTCCCCACTTAATCTAGGGAAGCCCCCCCCCCTCCCCCTCCCAATCTATGGAAGTCCCCCCCCTCCCCTCCAATCTAGGAAGTCCCCCCCTCCCCTCTCAATCTAGGGAAGTCCCCCCTCCTCCATTTTCTCTCATGACATTCCAGGTACGAGGTCGGTTGCGTCATCTCGCTTGCGGTCACGAGCCGTGCTTACTATATATAGATTCGCTGTAGAACAAAGAGAAAAAAACAAAAAAAAAAAAAAAAAAAAAAAAAAGGAATAATCGTCAGAAAACGCAATAATGGTGGGAAAATTACAGATAATCGTATCAAATCTTATGTCTTTTTTTTGTTTTGTTTATTTCTCTCCTGTTATCTTTCATTTCATTTCTTTATTTTGCTTGATTGTGAAAGATCATCGGACGTGACAGGTAAATGGCACATGACACTGATGAATGATGTATTGGTGACACGTGACAGAAGTTTTATGCTTAAATGAAAACGTGCTTTTAGGTTTTACTACGTGTGCGTTATAGGCGATTGAATATTTGTGTGCGCGCGTGTGTGTATGTATGTATGTATGTGTGTATGGATGTGTGTTAATATTCATATGTGTGTTAATATCCATATGTGTGTGTGTGTGTGTGTGTGTGTGTGTGTGTGTGTGTGTGTGTGTGTGTGTGTGTGTGTGTGTTGTGTGTGTGTGTGAGTGTGAGAGAGAGAGAGAGAGAGAGAGAGAGAGAGAGAGAGAGAGAGAGAGAGAGAGAGAGAGAGAGAGAGAGAGAGAGAGAGAGAGAGAGAGAGAGAATCATACATGTGCATGTATCTACGTGTGTGTGTTTGTATGTGTGTAGATGAACGAGTGAATGCGTGTATGTGTACATATGTATGTAAGTGTGCCTGCATACGAAAAGATCTCACAAGAAAATTCTTTAGTTCTTGAGCAATATTTTTGCGTTATAGTAGAGTCATCCATCTTGCATCACTGTAAAACTTTGCTGAGCGGGTCAAGGTGGATAATATCAACGTACAGAACTGACTACTTGGAATTTCTATTACGTGACGGACAGACATACAGAAAGTGTAGAAGATATGCCTTTTAAAGGACCTAGGATAGACTCTTAAAGTGCGTAATTCTGTTTTTTTTATTATTATTATTATTATTTAGGATTGGCTTTCTATTGTGCCCAGGTCTGGCTTTGTAAGATATCTAATTTAGTTTTATGAAGTATTTTAGGAATGTATTGGCTTTTAAAGTGCCTAGGATTAGTTTTATAAAGTG